GAATGAGAAAACTTTGGGAGAAAGAACCGGAAACACAATCCTAAACAGGAAACAAGGGATAAGCTCCTTTTCAAAAGACGGGGAGTGAAGTTCAGTCTTGAAGTTTTGCTTGCAGAGGAGATAAATGAATCTGTGACGAAAAACTTGGACAAATTCATGGACGTCGTGAGTGGGGATCAAGAAGTGGTTCAAGAGCATTTAAGTCGGAGGACCCTACTTTGAAGCAGATTAGAGTTTTCTATTGTTATAAAATAATTTCTTGTCTCACCTGAAAAAAAATGATATATATCATCATCATCATTATCATCCTAGACTTTAAGATAACATTATCCCCAGCTAGGATACTGTTATCTGCGTTGGAATATAGTGTCAAACTCTTCTCGCGCAGACAGCAGCACAACCTCGTTTGACTAGCACCTGATCCCATGTAAAGGCAATGCAGTATATTGGAGTCAGTAACCGAATGTAATGCAAATTAGATTTACGATAATAAAAAAAAAAATAACGTGGGCATAAAACGCATTGTGTTAATTATAAATACATCTCAATAATACTATATCAATAATGGTTTCATACTTACTGTATGCCTACATTTACAACATGTAGCATATCTCTATCTATAAAAGGCAGGATGTATGTGTGTGTGTGTGTGCGTGTGTGTGTGTAACGAATGCACGGCCGCAATTTTCGACGGATTTGCACCAAGATATACAAATGACATTTTCATTTCCCAACTCCCATCGATTGTGAAAATAATCGATTTTTTCATGCTTCTACGACACTTTTCATGTTGTTTGCGGCCATTTTCTACTGGCCAGAGTGAGAGCCTATAGCTATCTGCCACGAATAGGCAGGAAGATTCTATTGGCCAGCGTGAGAGCCAACAGCTGACTGACACGAATTTTAACGAGCATGCTATCATGTTTTCTCATGTTTTCTCTACATATTAAATGTATTATATACATTTCGAAATACCGTCCCCAATGGGGAAAAGATATTTATTTAATATTTCTTTTGTATAATAATCGCTCCGAGACTTGTATATATAAATATATATATATATATATATATATATATATATATACGAATGACATGAATGTTAACTAGCATGCTACCATGCAAAAAAATAATAGATAGCTGCATTCGTCACAAGTGGGAAAAATTTAAATCTGCATGGCACTTTACTCCAATTAGCTCATTCGCTTGCTTATACTCAACGTTGATTCTGATTCCGCAGAACTGAGTTGGGTGTGAAAAAGTATTTGTTTTTAACATTCTTGTTTTCATTCGGTTTTTTCCGTTACGAGTCTTTTTTTAAAGCTGATCGTTTTGTGTTCATTTTGTTTAGTTCTTTTTTCGTAACAGATTTAATGTTTACTATAGAGCTTAGAAAAAATTCGCAGTGTGAAATAGGCAAGAAGTAAGACATGTAGCAACATCAGCACGGCAAAGAGCACTTCTTTAAAGGCAAGGGTGGGCAGAAATATTTTAAATCAAGTGATAACGATTGCTGTATGAGTCGTACGATTTTTGAATCAAGCACGGGCAACCCCGGGCCATACTATATATATATATATATATATATATATATATATATATGTACTTTAAAAATCAGGAGATCAGTTGAATCTGCTACCTTGGTTTCAACTTTACGGTGCCTCAGGCAATTTTATCAATTGACCTCATAACGCTTTATTTAAAAATAAAATCTAATGAAAGCTATATTATTTTTGGGAAAAAAAATAAACGCACGGCGTTGGTTGTAATAGAAAGGGAGGAGGAGGATGTAAAGAAAGAAAGAAAGAAAGAAAGAAGAAGAAGAAGAAGAAGAAGACGAAGAAGAAGAAGAAGATCCAATAACTTTTTAAACTAGAAATCCGAAGTTTTGAGTCCTTGCATACATATTAAGAAACTACAAGGATTCCGAATGTAGTAAAGCAATTCGAGAAGGGGTTTAACATTAATTGCAAGAAGATGAAATGCGTGGTTTTAGTAAAAGGAAAGTCCAAACATGCAAATTATAAATTGTAAGTATTAAAATCCAATAAGTACAACAATTTACTTATCTGGAAGAGGACAGAAACTGCAACACGGTATAGGTATAGCGAAATGTGCCTTCCAAAAGCTAAGTAAAGTATTAAGAAACAGGAAAATTTCGTTATAAGCAAAGAAAAAAATACTGAACTTTTATGTAATATCTGCCCTCCTGTATGGCAGTGAATTCTGGACAATCTCCTTACTGATGAAGAAGAGACTTGAAGTAACATAAATGCGTTTCTACAGACCAAACAAGTAAGCAAAGACGAAATTTTAGAGCCAATGGAAACAAAAAGGACAATTATTCTTAGCATCAAGAAGAGTCAATCGAAATTTTAAGACATAAGGAGAGAAGGCTTAGAAAATTTGATAGTCACAAGACAAATTGAAGTTAAGAGAGATAGAAGAAAACAACGCATAACATACCTAGAGAGCTTGGGTAAATTGATTTAGCTTTAGGGGAAATTTTTAAAAAAGACAGAATTATTAAGAGCTACAAAGGACAGAAGATTGTAGAGAACCGTGACTGCCAAGGTCCTGAATAGACATGACACATAGAAGAAAAAGAAGTGTAAGTAGCTTCCTTTAAGTTAAATAATTGTCTCAGTGCGCTTGAAGAATTCTTACAATCTTTTCCCACCTATTTACAAGAATGAGTGCCTATGTTCGGTGGCGGAGATCCCACAAATGTTCTAGTTTACGGAGCTTCATCAGACGAACTGGTCTCTTAGTTTTTCTAATGTTTCTTTGATGATAATTAAGTAATAGCTCTCAACTTGCCTTTTAGTTAAAACAAGAAAGCTTTCACCAACCAGGCTCGGTTGTCTGATTCATTATCTTATTAACTAGCCACTCTACATCATGCAGAACGTGTACCAAAGAAACTAGTATACTCCATGGCTTATAGAGATGTCCGCCACCTTGTGATGTTCCGCTATCTCGCTCCTAGACTGTCCTGGGTTGTTGTTGATGATATCCTAGACCTGCTGTATGAATTCGGTTATTCTTACGAAGCCAAATCGCTTAGGCGTTTTTATGTTAGTTTCGTACTGGGTATGATGATAAACTACATCCGGCACAAAGGCCTTTGATCGCGAGAATGGAGGATTTGATGAGCGAGGACCACCTATTAATTGGTGTCGTTCCCAGGTTCATCCTGTCTCAGGGTAGTAGCACTTGTTAGGGTCCGAGCCATGTGCAAATACTCGGCTCTGAAATAAAAATCAATAGTAAATTTTTAAAACAAAATGGCAATCAATGCAACACAAAGAATATAAAAATGCATTTTTATAGTAAAATTACTCAACAGGTTCCGTGTGAAAAAAGAAGAAGAATCCACTTTCCGGGAAAACCCTAAGGCCACACACCCGCTCGGAGATTTGTAATTGACAATGCCCGGAAGTGAATACCCAGTTATTTTGCATGGAATCATTAACAGAATCATTTCAATTACAAATTTCTTCCTCACAGGTAGATCCCTGAAAATAGTTGTTAACGGCCAATTCTCACTGGCTCTGGTTATCAACACAGGCGTTCCCCAAAGGTTGATTTTCGGACCAATCTTTTTTTTTTACTTTACCTAAATTATCCGCCTAAGTGTTTATTCTGATCATTTGTTAATATCTATGCTAATTATACAACAGTATATAGATGTATCTTTCAAACTCTCAATGACGAGCGTATGGCAGGTGATCTCTTTTCGGTCCTAGATCTAACATCTCAGTGGGATAAAAACTGAGTGGTTACATTCAATGCTTTGAAAACCAAACTAGTTACATTCCACCCTCTTCGATCAGACGTTGAACTATCACGAATCACGATGAATAGATGCTCCCTCACTGAGGCCACATGCCTTGAGCATCTATTGAGTTTCAAACTCAGCCGAGACCACAAGTGCAACCCATACATACAATCCATCGTTAATGATGCTGAAAAATATTCGGTTTCCTGTAACGCTCTAATAAGTACCTGGCTCCTCCTACTATCCTATATTTTTACAAGAGCCAGATCAGGCCTAAAATAGAGCACTGATCTCATATATCAATAGGCGCTACGCAGTCTTGCCTTTCCAGTTTAGATAAAGTCCAAAATGGTTTCCGCGTCCTTGTGGGTGATGCTAAGGTGAAACACGCTTATTCTATAGACTCTCCCACCTAATATAAGTAGGAGTAGTAAGAGAAACGATGGTCAGTCGATGTCGGACGACAGTTAGTCGAATACGAAAGTAGTCAGCGACCACAACAAGATTACTCTGTGTAATACCTATTATATAAAGTTGCTAACGTTTTGTACGTCGAACCTATTTAAGACCGATTTAGTGCAAATACAAACCTCCACTACGAAATAACTCCACAACAGGTGATGAATTATTTTTCACCCTACAAACCCTTTCTCACAGACGAAACGTCGCAAGCTTCTCACTGTTCTATCAACATTATATAGCCCCCCACCCCTTTTTCATTGTAGTGAACAACCCTCATTCCCTGTGTATTCCATAGGTGAGATGCAAGATCCACTAAAGCAGCTTCTTCCCACGAACCGCTGCTTCGGGGAAGCGACAACCAAGAATATTCTCCTGATCACTACAGTTGTAACCTATTCAAATCCAGGGTTAAGGGATATCTTCCACACATAACCGCACATACTGTCCCTCAATTTGTTACTTTCTAATTCGAGTGGCTCTTGGGCCTTGTGCACATCACTATAAAATAATTAATGATTGATACATTTTCTACGGCTTATCAACCTTTTGCAGATAATTTAAAACAAGAATATATTTTTAGAATAATTTTTTTTTGCGATAATAATGTCTTACTAATTAACTTCTAACTGGTGAGAGAAGTGGTGCATCCAGACCTTACCTTTGCGCCTACGTGAATCTCATGAAGCCATTTAGAATTAGAACACGACTCTTCGATCAAGAATTCCGAGCCATTATTTGTAACACCAGCCGCACATCCATGCTTACAGCACCTTCTACTTTCAAGCTGTCACCCATGTAGCTACTGACTAGGCCCGACGTTGCTTAACTTCGGTGATCGCACGGGAACTTACGTTTTAAAATGATGCGGCCGTAAGCCTCCTAACATTACACATAAAGATATTATATTTTTATTTTATTTTTACTTAGAGAAATCAACCTATTCCAATGACAACCGAAAATCTTTTCCTTTTATTTTGTCCGAAATGCGTTGATTAGGGACCCATCGATCTCTGATTTACTATGCGATGAATAATGTTCTGTGTTTTTTTTACTCTTGTAAGAAATACATATAATATTGGGTTGGGGCATAATTATCAGGCGTTTTTAAACAATATTTATTATAAAAAAAGAAACAAAAATTCAACAATAACATTTTTAAATGATTATTCCGGAGCGTATGATTATCGATACGCATATTTATAACTTGAAAATAAAATAATACTTTTATTAAAGAAAGTAAACCAAACAGCAATTTTTATTAGCAAATAACTCGCCTACAAAAACGCCTGATAATTATGCACCAACCCAATATATTCAAGCATTTCACTCGTTTCGAAAGTGTTAATCATTCCGATTCCAAATAAATGCTGAATTTGCTTACATGCCATTGCGTAAACCATTCATTAATTAAATCGCTAAATCTCTGCCTTCGTTAGGATCCATAAAGTCGATGGTTATCCGATTATATCTTGTTCAATTAAAATCCCAGCAGAGAGCATTAAATGGAAGACAGAGAATTATTATCAGCCTTGATTTTATCACAATGCGTTAGCCGATGCGTTCAACAACCTTCCTAAACTTTATAAGGAAGCGGTATTAAATCTCACACCAACTTAGACAGACGTTATTTTTTTTTTTTTTTATTTTTAAATCATTTCGCCCCAAGCAAAGCAATACAGCTATTAGGACTCAAGGTGTTACTGAATGTGAGAGAATATGAGAAAAACAACTATTAAGGAGAGGGGACAATTAAAGAACAAAAATTAAGATGACAGAAGGTAACGATTGACATCGCATTTAAATTTTTGAAGATCAAAGTCATCTGGGGGGGCAAGAAGCCGGAAAGAGTTCCACAAGCGAGAAGTGCGACATAAGAATCCGTAAGCATAAAACTTATGGTTACATCTAACCATTTCAACTGTAAAATGATGTCACCTTATCGCCAATCTAGTACTACGCTTAAATTCTAGATACCACTGCGGTAAGTTAATCAGAACAACGGTGGGAAAGCGACTGAAGGCGTGATGCCAGGTCAGGACTAATAACTTTGCAGATTCTTTTTTTGGCTTTTGTCAAGAAATTCTAAATATATAGCAGGAGAATCAGACCGGATTCGGCAGCAATATTCAAACCATAGACGTATCGTAGACTTATAAATATTTAAGACAGATTCTGGTTTGAAAAATAATGAAACAACTTTGTTAGATGCAGACTTAGCAATTGATTCAATATACTCATTCCACTTGATACTAGCTGAAAACTTTAGTCCGATAAGGCAGAATGGGACAATCGTTTGATGGAAGACAAACAGTGTTCTCTCAGATAGTTAAAATAGAGCGGTTTTTGAGGCGTTAAAATTAAAGCTATACTCCTTGTCCAATTTAACAACAGAGTGTAGGTCATTTTCAAGATCAGCCGCCAATTTGACCTTATCTAACCGATCAGACTTACTATAAAGACAAGAGTAAATAGTTGGGTCATCAGCACAGATACGGAGTTGAGAAGGTCATTTAAACTAGAAACAACATAGGTCCTAGGATGAAGCGCTGGAAGATACCAAACATATAAGCAAAATGATCTAGAAGAGTGTCCATTCAAGACAACCTTCATTTCACGATTTGATAATGAAGACCTTTTAAACTTTTAACCCGTGAAGAAAACCGGTATGCGAAAGGTGATGTCTAAAACAGCTCGACCATTACCAGTTTATTTAAAGGTTGAGACTTTTAGCAATAATCGTTAACACATCAACAGTTGACTTAGAGAAGGGAAAGACATATCGCTTGAAAGAAGATTTTGTGATTTGATATGCTTAACTAATTACATATTCACCAATGCTTATTTCTCTGTCCACAATATATTTCGAAAAGTTCTCTGAGTCTCTGTGATATTTTTTGAAAAAAACTAGATCATAGAATAAACAAACGTTAGAGTTTATTCAACAATGTTACGCTTGAGAAACATTACCTATAGTAAGACATCATTCTGTAATATATTGAAAAATCGAAATCCATAAAATGATTATCTTAAATTCTATTTATATATGAATTGATTTTCATTCGTTTTTAATTGACAATAACGATGATCGACGCATGCATACCTTGAGTGATTTTTAATTTATTTAGTCTAAAATTTTTCAACAGCTATGAAGATGGGCGTGAAATATTTGAGCAAATATACAAAATATAATATTCAACTTGAATAAAATGCGTTCACATGTACACACTTGTGTAAATTATTTGAAACAACCGCTTTAGTTCCCTTTCTTTCATCATATGATCAGTTTTAGACCCACTGGAGTGACAGGGTGAAATCGATTTCTGTTTTTTCCTCAGATTTGGTCATTTGCAGTGGTGTGCAGTAATATGAATCTGTTTTTGGGATGTGTGATTAAATTTGTTTGGCCTTGAAAAATATTGCGACATCCGTGATTGCATCAGATTTTTTATCACGCCCAGACACTATTATCTCGAATGTCTATTAGTTGTCCTACGGCAATTGTCTGCGATGGACGTTACTCCAAGGAAGCGTACGAAAATTGTAACGCTATACGAAAACACTGGCAAGTCTTACCAGTGAGCAAATCAAAGTACTATAGATTGGCCCGGAAGCTCCCCTGATTTAAGTCTAATCTTCGACCTGCAAAGAACGACTTCGGAGAGGTTACTCCAAGGAAGCGTACGAAAATTGTAACGCTAAACGAACACACTGGCAAGTTTTACCAGTGAGCAAATCAAAGTACTATAGATTGGCCCGGAATCTCCCCTGATTTAAATCTAATCTTCGATCTGCAAGGAACGACTTCGGGGAATCGACATGCGAAGTACTAACATGTGCACTGGGCCATGTTTCATTGGGAAAATACGAAAATATGTAAATAATGGTATTATTCGTTTTGTTTCGGCTAATTTGGACAAAGGTGTGACCAAGCCAACTTACAATGTAACTTGCATTTCGGCAGAAGCAAAGAAGAAAATGCTGAAAAATTGTGTAATATAAACCCTGCTATATTGTAGTGAAGGTTACAGAATTTTCTCACAGATGGAGAGGAGACATGAAGCAACACAGGATTGATTCTACAGAAGGATGGTGAGAAAGCGATAGAGGGAGCATGTGAGCAATTAGAAAGTATTAAGGAAACTGCAAATAAAAGACAATTAAACAGAATCAGAAAGTGATAGTTGAAAGTTCCAAGTCATATAATGAGGAAAGTGGGATTGGAGAATATGACACTTATGGGATATACTGAAGACAAGATGGTCATAGTGAACTATCGAATGACGTACCTGGCGAATTTGTGTAAATGGATGTCAGGTACTGAGAAGGGGGACCAATAGAGCCAAAAAGGATAGAAAGTTGTGGAGAGCCTTGATTGCACACGTCCTGAAGGATCAGTAGTATTGGCTGAAAGAGACTAACTTCTTTGCACGTTATATGAAACTGACTGTATTCGGGTATATTTTATCCATCATAGTATGAAATATCGGATCTGAATCGTTGGAAGAGATGCATATATTATTTGGCCAAAGTTATTAGCTTGAAGTGACAACGACAAAGTTATTAGCTTGAAGTGACAACGATTGCTTTCAGTGTTATAATTTTATGTTACATGCTGTCAACAATAAGGACAGCTATATTATTAGGACTGTCATGAGTATTTATTTTCACTTTACTCTGCTGTATCATTACGAGGAGGCCGGTATACTGGGCATGACAATAAACTACATCCGGCAGCAAAGCCTCAGATTGGGAGGTTAGGAGGAATATGGAACAACCTCTTCATTGATGTTGTTCTAAGTTACACTTTGATCTGAGCTGTTAAGCTCCCAGCTATGTGCAAACAGTGAACCAATAAACTGGGGTTAAAACACTATGAAATTATAAAAATATATTTTTATATAAATATACCAGCAACACATAAAAAAAATACCAGGAATGCATTTTTGTAAACGAAATGTCTAATGGTCCCAAGAAAAATTAAATTTCGGAATTAAATGACCCATAAGGAGTTTATATGTCGCTAAACAAACAAACAAGGAGGCGCTGAAAATTTCTCAACACTTCCCAAATGTTGTATACATGGCCAAATATCATTTTTTTTATTTGAAAGACTTGTCTATCCCAATACATTTCTACAATTTCCTTGCATATTTTTCATATTCTTCTACTATTTACTGTGAGAGAGATTCCACGTGTGTTGACCCGTAAGATGTTATCATTTCGTTCATTTTTAAAATCACACTGAGAGAAACTGATTGTTAATTGGTAAATAATTAAAAATGTCATTTTAATGTGAATTAAATAACTCGTTTAAAAATATTTAAAATAAAGCATATTTACAAACATAAAACTGATTGATTTGTTTACTTAAGGACATATCAACTCCTTTTGGGTCATTTAATGCCGAAATCAAATTTTCTTCGGAGCTTTGAGAAAATAAAAATAAAATATGTTATTCTGCTTTCACAATTGGATACACAGATTATACTCAGCTTTTGTGCATATGTGAACATAATTAATAGCAGGCGTATGTGTTTTTTATGTTCTACTTTTGTGGAATTGATTTATTCATGAAATTGTCGGATATTATATGAATTAATGCCCTGAATGAGTTATTTGATGTTTGTTGTTTGGTTGATTTTGTTTAACGGCATATTAACCTCAATGGGTTATTTGATGCCGAAATGTAAATATTTTGAACGTAATGTTATGGCTGCATTGCTTCGTCCACCGCAAGGAAAGTTGGCTCCCTGTGCCGCGCCAGGAAATTTGTCTCCCCGGAATCGCTCCTCCAGATCTACAAATCAACAATTCGCCCTTGCATGAAGTATTGCTGCCATATATGGTCTGGAGCCCCTTCTGTTTGCTTCG